ATATGATTGAAAGCTTGCTCATCCCATGTATTTATTGTACAAGTTAATAATGAAGTAATTGTTAGAGTCCCCCATTACCTTGATTGAGCTGTGATTCATTCTTCAACTCTGGCAATAAATGAAAACATTCACTTTTGTTGTTGTTGTTAATATCTTTGGAAATGTGCTGCCTCTTTGCTCTCTGGTTAGACAGCTTGGTGATTTGGAAAGACTACTTGATTAATAATCAAAAGACCAGTATACTAGCCATTATTCTGGTATTCCTTTGACAGTGGAATATAATAGTAATTTCTATGAAGCAGATATCCTGTCTGTTTTATTAATACAGTTCTCAAAACCCAATAAGGATGTGGATATAGAAGTTATGCAGTAAGTTTGTTGTATGAATAAATGAATGAATGAAGTTTCTGAACCTTCGGTACATCAGCTTTCTCACTAAAATGTGGCAATGATACTAGTAACCTGTCTACCTTGATATGCCGTTAGAAGTTCTTAGAAAATTATAACTCAAATACAAGAAAATTATTTTATTTTATAAATAGTGCTAAAATTCAAAGTCTATTCTCTTGATGTGCAGAATATTGATTTACTTCACAGTGGTTCTCTGTCAACCTCTTAGCTGATTTTTCAGGTTAGTTGAAGGGAAAGGAAAACAGAGATAACATTTTGAAAGGACTAATATATAAGCCATTGTTATTTGTGCTTCATCATCTACGTTATTGGAACAGAGCAAGGGTACAGATCATTTTAATGGTACATAATCCAACAGTCATATCTTCTTGGCACTGATGTGTTTTTGTACCTTTATCTGAATAAAGGGGTATCTGGTGTTCTGGTCATCAAACTAAAACAAAGTAATGAAGTCACAGTCACAATATCTGGTTCAGGATATCCTCATTGTAAGATTCCTCAACTTAAGTTCCCTCTACCTTAATCCATAAAGACTGACATTCCTCTGGATGTGTATCACCTTTTTCTTCTCTGAATAAAGGAACCTATTTATTTCACAAAGCCAATGGAATAAATAATGGGTAAATAGACAAAAAAATGAATAAGTTCAACATAGCTAAATGGGAAAAGGAGACCAGACAATATCCACACTACGGTGTGGTAAGAATTAAACGAGAACCCCTTGCTCCTTATCCTCCTGCCCAAAGATAACTTTGCCACCAAAGACACTGGGTGCTATCGGGTAGGAAAGCATAGTCTGCTCATCTCTACTTCAGTTTATTGTATAACCGGAGAGTCTCAGCTGCTTTTCTTAAGAATACTCAAGTATGGAAAATAAAAGCAAAACAAAACAAAATAACAGAAATCTCCTTCCAACTACCTTCACATTTGAGGAATGTAGCTAGTTGAAGCTACTCATCATCAAGAAGATTTTTACATTGACTATATTTTGGCTCTGTAATACAGTGCCTAACTTTTTCAGTGCTTGGCTCTGACAACTTTCTGACTTGGTAGTGGGCTTAGCTGCCTAAGACCCCACACAATGCAAAAGAAAACCCCTGAGACTGAAACCTTAATGGTGTACTAAATTTAATTTGACAGTATTCAGGATCAACCAAGGTCACTAACTGGAAATATATATCATCAGTTTAGAGCCATCTATCTAGTTCACCCACCCACCCACCTGCTGGGAGCTGCACCCGTCTCTCTGGATGGCAGTCACAGCAAGGAAATGGCAGTGTTTGCACAGTTCCTGCCATGAGAAACGAAAACTGGTATCTCTTTTTGCTACTACTGGCCCATGTTGGAAATAAGCCTGTTGGTATAGACCAGGCCTCACAATATTCCATATCAGACCCATATTCCAAACACAGACATATAAGGAAAAGCATATTCCTGCCTTTACAAAAGAGATTTTAGATGAAAACTCTGTGGATGATTGTCAAAAGGTTCTTCCTATGGGCCTTGCAGATCCAAGACTTAGATAATAAAGGGGGTTAAGAACACAAGAGTTACAATTGAGCCTGGCCCCGAGACAAAGAGCCTAATTTAGATTTAAGGAACAGATAAGGGCAGAACATAAGTTAATACTTAACATCTTCTTCTAACTTGTGATGTATGGCAGTCCCTTCCCCAAGGCCTACTTTCTGCAAACACCCTCCCTTACAGGGGTGGTTGGGATGAGGATAGATAAGAGTAGCTAAAACATAACCCAAAAACAAAGGCCGACACATTTAGGGCCTCCATGGTGTTTACACACTCAGCATCAAGTCAAAAAGGTTTCCACAAACAACTTATTAACCAGTTTAAAAACATTCGTCCTCTTGAGAGCCAGACGGAATGACTCTTAGCCCATCTATACACTTAACCTATAACCTAACCTTAGCGTTATTAACTTAGAACAAATATGTATCCTGTCTTTTACTAAGAATACCCTGTTAATTCCTTAGTTATAAGATTTACTCAACCTCACTATAATTGGAATAGTTCTGCAATAATACTTCTGTAAAACCTGCTTCTGTACACTTTCCAAAGCATCTTATCACAAAGAGTTATCCATTGTAAAAATTCCTTTTTCTGATGTCATGTTATCATTTAACCTATAAATAAAGACACCAAAACCGACAGGACAGAGATGACTGCCTGGTGATCAGAAAGGATCTCGGGGCTCTCTCACTCTCTCTTGCCGACACCGTCCATCCTTCAGGGACCCCAGACCTGCTGGAGCCGGCCTCCAGCACCCACCAAACTGTTGGATTTTCCAGGCAACAATGGGTTACATTAACCACCAGCCTCTAGTTAAATCTGCATCAATATCTGGGGCAGTCTAACTATTTGGTTAATCTAAAAAGAAACTTTCATAAATCTTGGAAAGCTCCTTTCTAACAAATATAAATTCCTAGTTGTGGCTTCTCTGCTTTAGTAAAGGAAGGAGTCTTGTTATCTTTACATTTTTTGGGGGGAGGGAGGATTTTATTAAAATGGTATATTCATTTTTTTAATTTTTTAATTTTTTTAATGTTTATTTATTCTTGAGAGAGAGAGACAGAGTGCAATCAGGGGAGGGGAAGAGAGAGAGGGAGATGCAGAATTGGAAGCAGGCTCCAGGCTCTGAGCTGTCAGCACAGAGCCTGACGTGAGGCTCAAGCCCACAAACTGTGAGATCATGACCTGTGCTGAAGTCAGACACTTAACCAACTGAGCCAGGCACTCCGTATACTAATTTTAGTATCAATGAGCCTTGCACATTAAAGAAGTGTCTCATCCTGCTAGGAAAAACAAATTCATTGAAAGGCAGTAATGTTTTCCTGCATGATAGCTCCCATTAGTTATTCAAGATTAAATTAGTAAAAGAACTCTTCCAATGGAAATTAACTGACAATGCATATGGCAACACTTGTGATCTTGGACTATCTACTAGAATGGGGTCAATACTAATAGCAAAGAGAAACAAGACAAATGCAAAATACATTAGGAAGAAAATTTAAGTGACAATGAAGTGTGGATCTTAGTTGTGTTTTGAATGCTAAAGTCATAATTAGCAAAAGAGACTTAAGACACAAAACATTCACCATTTATTTTTAAAGTGTAGGCCATCGTGCTTCATATTTATTAAATTATTTATTCCAAGCAACATGATCATATGGATCATAGATATGTCATAGATATATAGAAATTAGCAATGATTTTAGGATTTCATTCTATAAGTAGATGGAGATATACTGATATTTTCAAGGTTGAACCTAAATGAAATTAGTTCATATTTACTCAGTCCAACATTGAAGAACCAGAGAATCTTAACAGCCCCTAAGTAGGTTTTGGATTTTTATCTTTTAGACCTCTGTCTTACACATAATAATTCTGTATTTTACTCTTGAAATAAAAAATAATCACTCATTAATCCTTGAATAAAGGCCTAAAGGCTAATCTATTACTGTATCCATTTTAAGATGATAAATGGAGCAGAATGAAATTATTCTAGAAGATTTAGTCATAACCAAAGTAGAAGCTGGGAATGATCACAGGCAAACATTTGTCAGAGGATAATTTAAGGACATTACTAAAAGTGTGGGAATCCATATACCACCTTGATGATTAGGAAAGGGGTTATTAGCTAAGCCATTGTCTGAAATCACTAGTCCCTTTGAAAAATGATTGGTCATTCTTTTCTAAAGATGGTTTTTAAATTCAAGAGAAGCTTCAAGCAGCAGAGCTGAAAGACAAAAAGAACACAGATCTTGCATGGGTCTAGATTTTTCTTCTTAGACAAAGAATTAAGGTAAGATATCAAAATCTTTGTTTTCATAATTTTAAGAACCCAAATCAGTCAACTCCTGTAGAATAAACTACTAGGGTCACCCTAGATGCTTGTGTGGATCAGTAATTTGAATTAGGGCAGAGTTTTTACATCTGGAGGACAAGATATAATATGCTTCCATAGGTTACACTACAAATCAATATTACAGTTTTGATCATCTCTTTCCCTGAATTAGAAAAATATTGGTTCAATTGCCTAGTTTTAAGATACTTTAATGTTATTAGATTTTTAAATGAACTTTGATCTGTTATTGGACTGCTATTGTCAGATCTTTATTGTAGTATCTTTACTACTACATTAGACATTAAAATTGATTTTATTATAAAGACCTAGTTCAGTGACCCCAGTCATAGCCCTGTCAGTCATGGGCACCCCAGTTATGGACCCATTCCTTCTGTGCAAGGGTGAAAACCATCTTGTTCTCTAACTCATTCAACTTTATCACATGCCACCAAATGAATTATTTGGTCAAGCTAAGAGGATTATTTGTCAAGCAAACAATTCTGGTTTTTATAAACAGGTGCTCTGAGAAAAAGAATAAGTTCTCTTATAGATATTTATAAGTATGCTTTTTTTTATTTTAAATCCTAATATATAAGTAAATACTATAGAATTTACCTAACCGCTCCTCTGATGGAACAATACCCACCAATTATTGTTATCATGATTGTTATACAGAGGTTCTATTTTAAGCTCAATTTCACAATTTATTTTCTAGATATTTCATCTGAAAATGAAAACTATAATTCTTCTTGGGCTACTGGGAGCCACAATGTCAGCCCCAGTAAGTGATCCTATGGTACAACAAAAATCATTGTGTGAAACCTTTAATCCTTCTTTAATGTGAAATCCTTCTTTCACCATTTCTCTTTTTTTGTTTATTTTTTAGCTTATCCCACAGCGTCTTATGTCTGCAAGCAACAGTAATGAGGTTAGTTTGAATACTTACAACATTCTCCGTCTTGTTTGTTTGTTTGTTTATATGGAAACCCAGTAGAGAAGAGATAAAAGCTTTGGTTAATTTACCCTGCATTCCTACCTGTTAGCTCTTTATATCCAAATACATTTCCAATAATCATGTTTAATGGGTGTACCAGGTTATTTCTAATATATTATTTTGCTCCCCTCCTTGACTGTAAATTCTTTAAAGCCAGAGACAATATCTCATACATATTAGAATAGTAGCACCTAATACAGATGTATATAGGTGTTTAAGAGCATAAAATGACTGGCTAACCCGCTGGAAGGGGCTGAAGTTGTGCAAGCTCATATACAGCAGGGAAAAGGTAGTTAAATCCTAACCTCTAATCACTGTAATTTAGCATAAGCTTAGTGAAAAAACACCACCAGCAGGCAGCTGATCAGTCAGCCCTGACTTGTTTTTTTTGTTTTTGTTTTTGTTTTTTTTTGAGACAGAGAGGGAGAGAGAGAGAGAGCGCGCGAGCGCGCACGCGCGCGCGTGCGCGCGAGTGGGGGAGGGGCAGAGAGAGGAGAGACACAGAATCGGAGGCAGGCTCCAGGCTTTGAGCTATCAGCACAGAGCCCAATGCGGGGCTCGAACCCATGAACTTTTATATCATGACCTGAGCCGAAGTCACTTAACCAACTGAGACACCCAGGTGCCCCAAATCTGACTTGTTCTTTATTTGTAGTAAACATTGTTCTTAATAGTTTTAGCATGTGTAATAATGTTGTTTTCATATTATCTTTCCTTTTCTAGTTACTTCTGAATCTTAATACTGCCCAGCTTCAGCCACTACAGCTTCAGGTACCTCTATAATTATTTTAAGATTTTCCTACGACTTATTTTTTTACAGTACTTTGTATGAGACCAAAATGTTTTCTGATTTCATTTCTGAAATCTCAATTTTTAAGGTTATGGATTCATCCCATATATTCTAATGACCTTCATTTGAAGATGAAAGTAAAAGCTGTAATCTGATTAAGATTTATTTACTGAAAACTTGATACATGCCAGGCACAAATCCTCAAAACTATGAGATAGTTCAATTAACTACTTACAGAAAGTCATACTCAGTTATTAAAAGAAAAAAAAGAAGCAGATTTAAAACTAGTCTAGCAACTGCAGAAGCCATACTCTTCATCCGCTTCACTGTACCCCATATTTTTTATAATCACTGGGAATTCAGCATCATTCATGCTATTTGCACAGCTCATAATATGCTAAAATGCTGTCCTTTTTTATATTCAGCAATAAAATTGCAGAAATTGTTTACATTTTGTCCTTTTCTTGCTCAGAACTGATTTTAAATTCTTTCTGAAATGAAAGAAAGATGCTTCCTTTCTTTCTTTTGTTTCCTTCCAGGGCCCATTTAATTCATGGATTCCTCCTTTCTCTGGGATTCTACAACAGCAGCAGCAAGCTCAAATTCCAGGGCTCTCCCAGTTCTCTTTATCAGCTCTTGATCGGTTTGCTGGACTGTTCCCAAATCAGACACCTTTCCCGGGATGGGTCAGTTTTGTGCAAGGAACCCAGGTGGGGCAGCTGGACCCCTCACAGCCCCAAACATCACCGCAGACCCAGCAGGGACCTGGTCACGTAAGTAGGGCCCCTCCCATCCTGTTGTTCTTTGCAGAGGTGACTCATTTTGAATGCAAAAATGAACTACAAGAATCAGCTTTAAAATAAGACAGGAGCAGCGTGCCTGGGTGGCTCAGTCAGATTAAGCATCTGACTCTTGTTTCCAGCTCAGGTCATGATCTCTCTCTCTCTCCCTTGCCCTTCTCCCTGGCTCAAACTCTATCTCTTAAAAACAAAAACAAACAAACAAACAAACAAACAAACAAACTTTGAAATAAGACAGGAGTTACTGAGAAAGAATTCTTTCGCACAGTTTGCTCTGCCATCACTGGAAGCACTTCCTTATCTTTTCTGATTTCTAACATGAAAAATACCAATTAAATCAGCTATTCTATTACAGCCACAAATCAAAAATGTCAAAACAGGTCATAAGAAAGATAATAAGGGGAATTTCGTCTTTGAAAAAGAAACAATTTGCCTTAATGACATACGCATAATAGATACCCTTTTGTTGTGACAGAAGTCTTGTATACAAATTACACATGTATGTGGTTAGGTCTAAGAAAAACAGCTCTGGGATTTGATGTTAAAAAGTCAAGTATAGGGGCACCTGGGTGGCTCAGTTAGTTAACCATTCAACTTTTAAAAAAAATTTTTAACGTTTATTCATTCTTGAAAGACAGAGACAAAGTGAGAGTGGGAGAGGGACAGATAGGGAGAGAGACACAGAATCCAAAGCAGGCTCCAGTTTCTGAGCTGTCAGCACAGAGCCAGATGCGGGGCTTGAACCCACGAACTATAAGATCATGACCTGAGCTGAAGTCAGACGCTTAACTGACTGAGCCACCCAGGTGCCCCTCAACTTTTTTAAAAAAATATTTTATCCATTTTTTGAGAGAGAGAGAAAGAGAGACAGAGAGAGAGTATGAGCAGGGGAGGGGCAGAGAGAGAGAGGGAGACACAGAATCTGAAGGAGGATCCAGGCTCTGCACTGTCAGCACAGAGTCTGCCAGGCTTGAACTCAGCAACCATGAGATCGTGAACTGAGCCAAAGTTGGACACCTAACCACTTGAGCCACACAGGCACCCCAAACATCAGATTCCTGATTCTGGTTCAGGTCAGGATCTCATGGTTTGTGGGATCCAGCCCTGCATTAGGCTCTGCACCAACAGCACAGAGTCTGCTTGGGATTCTCTCTCTCTCTGTCTCTGCCCCTTTCCTGCTCATGTGTGCACATGCACAAGTGTGCATGTTCTCTTTCTCTCTCTCAAATTAAATAAATAAACATCTAAAATACATATCTTTAGGGGTACCTGGGTAACTCGGTTAAGTGTCTGACTTCAGCTCAGATCATGATCTCACAGTTTGTAAGTTGACACACTGTGTTGGGCTCTGTGCTGACATCTCAGAGCCTGGAGCCTGCTTCCAAATCTGTGTCTCACTCTCTCTCTCTCTCTGCCCCTCCCCGGCTTGGGTTCTGACTCCCTCAAAAATAAATAAACATTTAGAAAATGTTTAATATATCTTTAAAACGTCAAGTATAACTTTTTTATACTTTTTATGGCAGGTTATGCCCTACATGTTCTCCTTCAAAATGCCTCAAGAGCAAGCACAGGTAAAAAATGGAATATCATCACTCCTGCAGACAGATGGCTACATATGCCCTCCCTAATACTTTCCTTCATATTTGTAGCTCTGACTCCTATAGCAGGACTGTGAAAACTTGTACAATTATCCATTGCTGGACTTGCATCCGTTTGTTAATTTTAGGCTCATTTAATAACTCCTGATGGAAGGATAGCTAAGGGAAGTCCCCTGAGTTTCCAGGGCGTGACTGTATTGGGAATAAAGGAGCTCACCAAGCCATAGGTCATGTTCCCTCTGCATGGCATTAGTGCAGGCATTTGGGAACTCAAGAGAAATACTATGTGCTGACTTTTTCCAACCCTAAGTTTAGAGCGAGATGCATTAAACTGATAAAATATGATATGATGAAGAGATAACAAAACTCGCTCCACGTTATTTGGCAGTTATGACACTCCACTCAAACTATTACCAGGTTCCTGTATATTTTCCATTTAACTTCACATTACAATCAAATGGTAGTGATTTCCATTACATAAGAGATCTTAAAAAATGAATGCCAACTAGTATAATCATTAGAGTAATGCGAAAAAGCCTCTCAAGATTAGTTTAATTAATTTTAAAATAGACTAGGTTCTAAGAAATAAGGACATAAATAAATTATTCACCAGCAGAGAACTGGCCATTTCATCAAAATTTACACCACTTGGCTCCTCTGTAATCATAATTATGTAATTTTGTCCCACCCTCATTATAAAATAAAAGTTACTCCTAGACATTACCTCATTCCGAGCCAGAGATTTTACAGAGTTAGATACATGGTAAGTAGATTTACTCCACTTTAAGGATCAGGAAACTAAGTCTTAATGAGATTAAATTCCCAATCCTAATGGAAGTAAATAGCTGAGTTGGAATATAATTCTTCAACCTTCTTTTAACCACTAAACCAGTGACTCTCCACCCTGGCTTTGCATTAGAATTTCAGGTGGTAATTTTGAAAATTACTAATGCCTGGACCCTGCCCACACCTAATGAATCAAGATCTGAGGAGTAAACGTCAAGTAGGATTATCTGCTGAAATGCTAAGTAGGTGATTTTAATTCGTAGCCAGAAGTAAGAACCACTGCATAAAATGCACTTCTCAAACTACAGGGTTTATTTAACTTTTATGTCTAGTATTGTCTCTTATTAATTATGCAAGGAAACAAAACACTGTATAAACTCTTATGTATGTACTAAGATTCCCATTTTCTGTAAACACATACACATTGTAAACACACACAGATATAAATGGAAGCCAATACAATACAATACAATAAATGGAAGTCAAAGTTGCAGTTAAACCAGTCCCTTGTCTATTTATGGATTGTCCAAAATTCTAAAAATGCATAGGGATTGTCTTAATAAAATGGCAATTATTAAAGGCAACACATTCTTGAGAATTTGTTCATTATTATAGAACTTCTAATGCCAGATCTTGCAGAGTAATGATTCTCAAAAAATATGGAAAATGTTGCATAGCCTATTCTCTTCTTAGATATTCATAAAGTGATTTGTACATAAAATTTGTATATAAAATCTACAGTTTGTATGTAAAGTCCAAGGTACCCTTTTTGAAAATCTTATTATTTTACTACTTCTTTAATGTGTTTGACCAAGCAATCTTAAAATCCAGTGTCATGTGTAATACGAGTGACTTCTAAAGTCTGAGAAGGACTGCTTTATGCATCGTTTTGTTCATAAAATTATTAGATATAAATCAGCTGTAAAACAATATTGACATTAGAAGGGTTTTTTTAAAGGCCTATGCTGATCTAATGGAAGCTCTTATATACTTTTCTCTTTACAAATAGATGCTTCAGTACTATCCGGTCTACATGCTCCTACCTTGGGAACAACCTCAACAAACAGCCACACAATCACCCCCACAAACAGGACAGCAGCAATTTGAGGAGCAGGTAACTACTGTTTGATTCTCATCGGACTCAAGTTCCTCTTGAGAATAGAGAAGTTATGGTAAATTTTCAGAGAAAAGAATATTTGAGTATATTTACTACAAAAGTCAACAGTCTGAACTGGTTGTCACAGACAGATACCGTGTTCTCCTAAAATATCACTAATTTGGAAATATCCGAAGCTGAATTTTAAAAAGAATGAAGTCAGTAAGTGTACTTCAGTAAAATCAGAGGCCAAAAGCTGCATCATCTTGGAAAAAATCTTCTCATTTTTCAAAAGCTACCAGTATCCTTCTTGTCATATTTACATGTGGTTATTATTTAAAAAAGAAAAACTATATAGCCTCCATGACAGAAGGCATCTATGATCACTAGATACAATAAGATAACTTTATATTGAGATTTATGGACCTGCAATACATTTTTGGAATTCTAATGCAATTCCAGGTGGCACGTACATAACTAGACTTCTGTTAGTTAGAATGGGGGAAAAATTTAATGGCTTATCACTACCCTAAAACCAAATTAGAGAAAACTGAAAATTATGCTTTAAATGAGTGGTAGTTGTAATTCTAATTGAGTCATGTTAATTTAATGAGAAAGGGAAAATGTTAACCTAGAAATCATACAGTATTAAAAAGATGCTTGGTAATTTATCAATAATTTTTACCACTTAGAACATATAAACTTTCAATAAAGCATTTAATATAGTAATATAATATATAATTTTAAGTAATGATTTATTACAAAATTATGACAAAATCATACAATAAATCTAATGCATTTTCCAAAAATCTGACAGATGCCATTCTATACTCAATTTGGATATATTCCAGTACAAGTAGAACCTGTAAGTAATGCATACTTTTCATTTTAAAAAAATCTAACTTTTCAAATGGCTTGCTTCGTAACCTATTAAATCCACCAGTGCCCTTCGGCCAAAACCCATCAGGAACACCACCATAGTTGAACAAAATTAGATTTATCTATTCATTGCAACGAGGGAGGACACACATGGGGAACTATGGATGTCTTTTTTTTTTAATAAATCTTTTTTTTAAGTTCATTTCTTTATTTTGGGCGAGCAAGAAAGATCGTGCATGAGCGGGATAGGGGCAGAGAGGGAGGGAGAGAGAATCCTGAGCTCTGTGCTATCAGTGCAGAGCCCATCATGGGGATCCATGCCATGAATCATGAGATCATGACCTGAGCCGAGATCAAAAACCAGACACTTAACCAGCTGAGTCACTCAGGAGCCCCTGTGGGTGTCTTTATAGGAAGGTGACTGTTCATAGAGTCTAGACTTCTGTCAGGTGATTTTGGGGAGACTTCAGTGTGTCTGAATTGGGTGGGTGTTCTCAAGAAGTGATGGGCAATGTTATGATTGATTAATTAAACAATTCTTACCTAGAAAATAAGAACAGAGCAAGGCAAAGTCTATGATTACTAAAAAACAAACAAACAAACAAAAAATAAAACATGAAGAGTTACTCAGGTTATCCAGGACATCAGGGTGTGTGGTATTTTTGTGGCTGGCATGGTGACCTTGCTTTAAACAAGATTACAGAGTGGTCTTGTTTTTGTTGTATTTCATCATGTTCAGACATGATGTTGTCTGATGGTGGCACTCTGCAGGATTGTTAACGTTCGACAGAATACCAGGGCCCAGCAGAGAATGTCCAGCAAGCCCCGGACAACACAAGCAGAGATTTATGTCCCATGTCACAAGCTACTTTTCTCTTTCTCAAATCTAAATGATTATGTTTGTTTTAAGAAACTGAAATGAAAGAAGTTAGGATGTGTTAGAAGGTTAACTGCCTTCAATTCAAAACCCCATTTCACAGATGAAAAATTTAGACTTTTTAAAAACTTACCAATTTTTCAGGTTATACCAGGAGGTCAGCAGCAACTAGCCTTAGATCCCTTCACAGACACAGCTTCTGAAACTGTTGTGATGTTAAGATTCCTCACCACCCTCTGCTAGGCACCAGAAATCAGCAACTGACAGCCTGCAGGTTCCTGTACTATTGTGCATTTTAATGAAAACTTTATTATTATTTTTCCATCAATAATTATTATTCCTTCCACCTATAATCTTATACCAGTGAAGATTCAATTTATGCATTCATCAAATATTTACTACTCTATATATGATACACTCCTAGGTACACTCATTTAAAACCATGTATCAAGACACATCCATGTTTGCCGGTATTTATTTATAGCCTATCTATGATAGATCATAACCTAGAAAACTAATGAAGTCATTTACTACTTATGTGAATTCTGTGCCTTACATCTCAATTCTATTGCTTTATATTCTTCCCAATTTTGACCTCGTACTTGAACCAGTAACTACTTTGTTTTCTTTCTAATTCTTCATAGCCTGCAGAAGGAGTGATACCATATTCACAAAAAGAAATGATAAACTTTAAGCATGCCAATGGAGGAATCTTCATTACTTCTACTTCACAAAAATCCAGCACTACAAATTTTGGTGCTCCTGCTATAGAGCCAACTAATACCCCACAGGTGATGGAAAAAAAGGTAGAGTAATCAAAGATTCACTTTATGTAAGAAATTGTTATGTAATTGAAAATATAAAGTTAATGTTTATAGGACTTACTCATGGAAATAATGAGAGAGGTAATGATATAGTAAAATATGTGGTCTTTACCTTGAATAGGGAGGTGAATAATTGATTATTCATAATTAATTAGAATACAATTTAATTTTTATTTAATAAGAACTTCTTGTGAATGTCATTTTCTCACTAGGCCAAGACTGATTACCAAAAGGAACCATAAGATGGTGTCCTAATCATTCAGATATTTTGGTAGGTATTTGCCAAGAGGAATGTATTAAGCACCATGACATACCGTAAGTTAAAAAAGAAATAAAAAACTGTCAGGGGAGCTAATGAAGATGTCTTATGAAAATGGATTTTTAAAAAGTTAGTGTTTATACAGTCCTACAAAGCTGATAATATTTATGGGACTTTACCAATATTTTTTAAAATAAAAATAAAATTTCAAGAATCATTTCTGCCTATGCCATATAGGCATATAGTTCATTTGGTATGAACTCTGAAAACACAAGTAGTAAACATACAAGGTGTGCATAAAAGACATTCTACAGACACAATATAGATTCGGTTCCTCTAAATCATCCCTTTGCTTTGCAAGCTAGAAGTAACTTTGCCAATGCATCTGTATTAGCTTGGAATGAAATAAAGTCTCCCAGTGTTCAAAAAAATTGCACAATCACATGGAAATTAAAAATTCCATGACTTTTGTATCAAATATAACCTTAATTAATTACCTGTCCTAATGGGCTTGGTTGGCTGAGGCTCATGGGTGTTTGATAGAAGGACAAGCTGGAATGGCATTGAGGTAAAAAATAGACAATAAAAAAGCAAACAATCTGGCCTGAAGGAAAAAGTAAAAGACAAGGGTTTTTTGTTTTTTGGTTTTTTTGAAATCTCCTCCCTGCTGTCGAAGAGCCTTTTCTGATTCTTCCTTCTATGAAAATGAATACTCAGCATTCTTCAGTTGAAAAAAAATCTACAAAAATCCAACCAGATGTGAAGAGTTTAGCACCTCTTTAGAAAAGCCGCTTATATCATGTGACATTTTACACAATGCAACTCAGTTCAAGTTATTTAATCAGAAATGCTGAAAGATTTCAGTATTGTGTGACCTTCACTCTATGTGACAACAGTGCCAGAAGTAAACTTTTCTCCTTTTTGTTAAGCTTTTTGAAAAATATCTAGGAAATATTACACAAAACATTCCATTGGTATTAAAACATACTCCTATCTTATTTTTCAGAGAAAAAGATGTGGCGGTGCCTTGGATATCATTTTAGGCTATTTGCTTCCTCAATACTAATACCAGTTTTTTGAAATATATGAAATACTCCTCTCTTGAATTTCTTTTTACTTATAAATAGCATTGCACTGTTTAAATGGACAATAATACAATCATTTAGTAAGTCCTGTTTTTACAAAATTATATTTCTTTTCAAAAATCCTATCATTGAGTAATTTAGAAGATAACAATGATAAGAATAAAGCTAATATCACTGAATCAACTAGATCACTGCATTAATAAAGAATAGCTCTGGAAAATGAGAATAAAGATACATTGTCACTGGATTTGTGTGGTGTGGTGATTGTGACTAATGACTTAAAGTATGTACCTATCTTTGATTTATCATCTCATTATTACCCCCAGGCCCATCCAGCTAGACGCCTTCTGATACACCTCCCCTTAGAATCAAAATTATTTGGTGGCAGGTATCATGAACTGCATGCTCCCAGTAAGACCCAGCTACATAGAGAGATGGATGTCATCACCTAAAATTGTAGGTCCCTAGGAAGATGTATTTTGGTTTGAGGAGGTAGCATCCTGTAGAGAATAGAGCAGAGATTTTGGATTTCATCAGATCTGGCTTTCAATATGGTTTTGAGCCTTTGGCAAGCCATTTAACATGGAATTTGTTTTCTCAGGTGTGAAACATAGATTACGATACTTATCTTTCAGAACTTCTGATGGAACTGCACAAAATAACATAATTAAGCCAGCAGGCCATACAAAGTACATTGTGAAAGTTTAGTTGGCATGCATAATTTGTTCTGGAAACATGCCTATAATCCAAAGCACTTGTATATCAAAGCCAATTTCAAGAACCATTGGCTCAGTTGTGATCACGTGACATTAAGTATCACACACTACTCATATTGCAAGACATGGGTCGTTTATCAAGTTAAAATTTATTAGAAATGTTTGCTAGTCTTGCAGAATACTTGCAGAACAAATTACTCATAATCCATGGTTTTACTATACTCAGAAAGTGTTAATTTTCCCTTTCAACTGTGACTATGGGAGGACTTATTTTCTCAGCTTTGGAGCTTCAGCTGAAATTCTGAGAAAACAGGAAAGTTGGCACTTAATATTCTTTACATATTTTTATGTAGGTATGTGTTGATGAGTGTGAGTATGTGCACACAGAAAGAAATTTGAGTGTATAAATGAATGATTATTATATGTTAGGTGGTTTCAGATGAATTTGATTAGTAGCCTAGGCTTTAAAACCGATCAAAATTCGCAGCATAATACCTTTTCCAGCATTTAGTATCATTATGACTCTGAAAACTGCTATGTACCTATAGAAGACCAACCCAATAGTCACCTACCCTACTTTCCTCTTATAATTCATCCTTTCCCCTAAATTAGTGAATTGAATGAGTGTAATTCTAGGTAACTGACTGACCTCTTAATATTGGACATGACATAGAGATTCACACATCCAGAAGTCTGATGAAAGCAGGTATTCGGCACTTAGGAGCATTGTGTCCCAAAATTCCAAGAGTTAATGAGGTCACTGAAAAAATTACATGAGGTAATTCATGCTAAGTATTTATTTAGAAAACATTCTGGAATATAGTACACATTCAACTTCTCATTAAGAAGGAGGGGAAAGGAGATAGTCAGAGACTGAAAGCAGAGATAAGCACAACATAGCTACCCTGTTCAAGGGCACGGTGGGGAGAAGCAGAATTCAGGGAAAACTGCAAAACTCTAAGCATCAAAGGAAATCAAGTCAAGGGTTTGCAAATATCAGGGATTGCAATAATAAATAATGTGAAAAATATGAGGATTACATAAATACAGTATTAACAAATTGGAAGCATAAGATGGATAAGTATTACATAAATAAAATAATACAATGTTAAAAATTAAGTTACTCAAGAATAAATATTTTTATAAAGACATTAACATTAAGCCCAGTATGCTGAAATATTTGTTTCTTTTAGGCAATATTAACAGTATCTTATTACTCTGGATAGCTTTAACAGATCCAATTTAGTGACTGAGCTTAAAAAATAAATTTCCTAATCTGTGACTATTCAGTATCCAGTCTGTTTCAGGAAGATGTTAAGTCATGTTAAGGTATTCATGAGCAACAACTATGTTTGAAAACCTGAATAATATACTTGCTATCAATGAAACATTCTACATTTTCAAGGTACTTTATAAAAGATACCATTTTTGTTAAACTATACCATTTTTGTATCAACATTAGGAAGAAGTTACAGTTAATGGAAATATCACCAGAATACAAGCATAAAACTATGTTTTGTTTGTTTGTTTGCTTGTTTGTTTGTTTTAACCCTATTATCCCAATCTCCGTATCCCAGGCCAGTGAAAAAAGCGAGGCAGAGAAAGTAGCTCAACCAATTTATTTTGTACTGATTTGAATTGAAAAAGTCTGTGTTGAATAATTTCTCTAAAATTACTTCTGCTTAGATTTTGTAATCCACAATGGTTTTGTTTGCCTGTTTGTTTGTTTTAAATATTTCTTTGGGGGAGGGGACATCACCCATCTATTCGATTTAGAGAAACATTTTACAGTCTTGAGGTCTTTTTTTTTTTACACGTTTCATGGCACGAATTCATAAGAAATGGTTTCCAGTGTTCCTCAAAATTTTCCCTACCAACTTTCTCTTTTTTCCACTGGTTGCTTCCTATCTAAATGTACAATAGCAGCATTAGTTGAAGACTGAAATATAAAATCCATACGTGACCTCATTTTCAACATTACACTCATGTCCAATCTATTATCATAGTCTAGTATCACTTTTAAATGCATAGATTTTAAGTATGTGGTTTGATGAGTTTTGTTCCCAGACATACACATATATTTATATGTATATACATAAATGTATATCTTATAGCCACCACCCCTATCAAGATACAGAACATTTCTTTTTTTTTTTAATTTTTAATGTTTTTTTTTATTTATTTCTAGGAGAGAGAGAGAGAGAGACAGCGTGAGCAGGGGAGAGTCAGAGAGAGAGGGAGTCACAGACTGAAACAGGCTCCAGGCTCTGAGCTGGCAGCCAGCACAGAGCCCGACGCGGGGCCCGAACCCACGAACCGCAGATCATGACCTAAGCGAAAGTCGGACGCTTAACCAACTAAGCCACCCAGGCGCCCCAAGATACAGAACATTTCTATCACCCCTAGAAAGTCCTTCCTGCTCTCTTCCAGTCAGTCTAGCTTCCCACTCTCATGTAGGCTACTACTTTAAAATTTGTTTTCTATCTATCTATCTATCTATCTATCTATCTATCTATCTATCTATCATCTATCTATCCATCATCTCTCTATCTATCATCTATCTAATCTCAAGATCTATATCTCAAAGTGTGTGTGTATATATACATATAGCTTATTCTTGAACTTCATATAAATTAAATCATATACTATATATTCTTTCGTATTTGAAAACTTTTACTCAATATAATGCTTTTGTGATTCATCCATGTTATTGCTTTAGTTGCATATTACATTGTATGAATGTGGCAGGTTCTCTATTAATTCTCCGACTGAAGAACATTTGGGTTGTTTCCTGTTACTGACCATTAAAAATAAAGCAGCTATGAATGTTCTTACACAAATTCTTTCATGAACATAAGTTTTCTTTCTCTTGGGTAAATACCAAGAAGGAGAGCAAAATCATAGGGTAAGTGTATGTTAGGAGTAACTGGTAAGTAGTTTCCAATGTGGCTGTATGCTCCCATCAGCAATGTGTCAGAATTCCAGCTGTTTAGCTAATAAATTTATAACATTTAGTGTTTACTTTGAGGATTATTTTATACATCCTTAGTTTATCATGAGCTATGCAGAATTAATATGCTACCTCTTTTCCTGAAACAAAGTTATATTACAATTTTATAATACCATCTTATATTCTATTGTCCTTTGTGCTAATACTTTCATATATTTTACTTCCACATATG